AAGTTACATCTTTTATTAGAATTCTTAATTATTCCCAAAACTATATTATTTTGAGTTTTAAGAAGAAGAAAATGTTTTTTCAAGGAGTTTAAATTTTTTTTCAATGAGTTTTCAAAGAATTACTAAAGAATATTCAAAATTATATAAAATGAATTTAAATGTAAACTTCCTTTTAATGCAACGTTACATCTTTTTATTACAATTCTTAATTATTCCCAAAACTAAGATTATTTTGAGTTTAAAGAAAAAGAAAAATTTTCAATAGGTTTAAAAAAAAAAAAAAATTCGATGAGTTTCAAGAATTTTCATTGAGTTACAAAAGATTACTAAAGAATATTCAAAATTTTATGAAATGAATTAAAACTTCCTTTTAATGCAAAGTTACATATCTTTATTAGAATTCTTAATTATTCCCAAAACTAGATTATTTAGTTAATTGAAACAAAATCTAGGGGAGTAGCAACTGTCATACATAAGCTTGAAAGAGGGTTTGTGGTTTGCTTAATTTTACAGACAAGGGTAGGAGTAGGGTTTCAAAACTGGCAAAAATATGCTGACATAATATTTGAATAATTGCAATATATAAGAATGTAAATTTATTTTTATTATCTATTTAGATAAATGCTCTGTGTTCCCCCCCCCTGTATTTGAAGAATGTGTGTAAATTGTTTATTTTTTGATACAGCCTTTTTTAATTCAGGATACTTCGATTCTGGTACAAATTTCCAAAATTCAGTAATCAATCTCAACTTATATTTTAATTACAAAGCTTGATCGTCTTGCATCTCTATTAATTCTAATTCTTCAGATGCTTTTTGGGTCATAATTATATTGGAAATGGAACACTCACCTTGAATTATGTTAATTTCAAATGGGTACAGAAAAATATTAAAATATAATAGCACAAAAAAGAAAAGGGAACTCGGGTGCATTTATTGAGAGCCACAAGTAATCCTTCAAACAGTGTGTGGCTCGCGAGCCGCAGGTTGGCCACCCCTGTCTTAAATGATTCTCAAATCCTACTTTCAGACAAACATTATGGGGTGAAGACTACTCAGGCCATAAATCAGGCGTGGTAAGTTTTCATCTATCATTGCAAGATGAATAGACCCAAATATATTCTGATGTTTTTGTAGAGCACATGCAAACAGAACTTCCTGCAAGGGGTGATTAGATAAACTTATTTTAAGTAACACTACTGCTCTTCTTATAGGCTTATCAAATGAGAAAGGTGCTTCAATCAAATCTTTCATGGAAGCAGATTTATCTCCTCTTGATATTCAGCGTTTCTATGACCTACAGAATGATGTCAACCACACTGTGCCTAAGGGAGACCAGAGCATCTCAGAAAGAGGTGGTGACCTTGCAAAGGAAAACACACAGTGGTAATAACTGTTTCATTATTTATTATTCACGTTCTTCATTTTATTTTATTCTATAACCATCGTTCAACAGTCGACCCAATGTTTGGGTTTACGACTACTAATGTCCAACTACGTAGCCTTGTAATTTTGAACCCAGTCCAGAAGACAAGGGAACTCCTGGATACAGTATTTTGAGAAAGTTGCCTTTGTGGAGGACTTTTTGATGGAACTAACTCGCATTTGCATTACATGGAGAGGAAGACCACGAGAAACTCCCACAGTTAGTCTGGCGGCAAGGGGAGTCTAACCCGTGATCCTTCTACCACTGAGGATATTTTCTGTCAGCACTGTGGTCGGTGCGAGCCGGGTGCTGAATTCAAATCGACCAGCTGTCACTGGGAACGAATTCGGTTCACCTCGGATAGAGGCGAGCGCTCTATCCCCCGAGCCACATTTGTTTGTAAAATCCTTAATATTTGGTAATCACTTGAATATAATAAATAAATAATTGTATTTTGTTTTTTTTCCCCCTAATAAATTTGGACTTGGCAAAAAAATTTTGAAAATATTTTTTATTATATTATTTAAGAATAACTTTCTAGTTAAGTTGTATAAATCTGAAAATTTCGGCACAGTGAAACGCCAATAGTTGAAGAATTTAATAAAAGTAAATTTAATGAAAAAAAACTCTTAAGGTGTAATGTGTTGATCTTTTTAATTAATTGTGTTATCCTCAGTGTTAGAGTCCCCTTGTTGTCTGGCTAACCATGGGAGCTTCTTGTGGTCTTCCTTCCCATGTAATGCAAATGTGGGTTAGTTTCCTCAAAAATCTTCCATGAAGGCAAATTTTTCACAATACTTGATCCAGGAGTTCCCTTATTTTCTGGATTGGGTTCAAAATTACAAGGCTACGGAGTTGAACATTGGTAGTCGTAAGCCCATAGAACTGGGTTGGCTGTTCAACGACTATTATAAAATAAAATAAAAAATAAATTAATTGTGTTAATTCATTTCTGATTACATATTAAAAACTTTTGTGTCTCTAATTAAGTAATGATATGCATTCAACCTATTTTTTTTCTTTTTAGTTCTACGAATAATAATGAGGCTTCATCATCAGCAATTAATAACCAGCAGAAGCCTCCTACTGAAAGTAATCCAGTGGCACCCTTGCCTTTGTTGACAGTTTTGCAGTTGCAAGTATCTGAAATGAGTGATGACTCATCTCCTCAAGACTCTTATATTTCAAACTCCTCAAGTTACTCCTTTTCTTAATTGCTAAAACGCTGCATTTTTTTTTCTATAAAAACCACTCCAACAAATCTGAAACTTTTATTTTTTAAAAGTTTCAGATACTCTAGACAAGACTGTTACTATAATTACTACTTTATGAATATGATGTACAGTTACTTTTTGTCAATGTATCAAATTATTTTTTACCTGCAGTAATTATATTTTCTATTCATATTGGACATATCTAGAATTATTTGATTACTAAATTCAAACCAAAATTCATTTCGAGGTTTGCTTTTTATATTTTGATTGCAAAAGGAAGATGAAGTTACTTTAAACAAAACTTACCTATTGTTTAATTATGAAGTGTTTTTAAATTATTTATGACATATAATAAATTATGATATGTTAGTAAATTTGAGCTTATATTTATATCAATCTTTGTTAACTCATAATTATAATTCTTAAGCAAAGGCAGAAAAAGAAATTATTTGTAACATTTAGGAAGCCTGGGCCTCTCAAGCCTTATGATAAATCAGGCTATGCAATGGCACCATTCTAAGATATACTCTTCAGGAGCTAATATCATTTTTTTCAGCTGGACAAAGTTTTTAGCATGACTATTGCTAAAGAGAACAAATGTAATAATATGATTTTTTAAAAAATATAACTAATGCTTGAACTGAGAGATAACGTCAACAAATTACAAGCTAATGTGTAACTAAAAATTACGGAAGAGTTGCGAAAATAAAGTCATTGGAAATTAAACTAAACCTAATAACATTGTTTATGCCGGTCACTGGTCTAGTGGTTACTGTACTGGACTAGTGGCTGTGAGTTCGAAGCCCACTGTAGGCATGGATGTAATTTTCTCTCTCTGTCCTATGTCCTTTCTTCTGTGTGAATGTAACCTGCCCTATAAACGGGTTTGTGGTTGTATGACGTGGGCGACGCTATTCAACCGCCATGGCTTAGCCAGAGGTGCCCACTGGGAAACGATAAGAGAGTAGAAATTCTGGCATTTCTGAGGCTAACGGGAAATAGACACAAGTGCCCGTCATTAGTTATATTTGTTAAAGAAAGAATAGATTTTAATACTCACTTATGATATTAAATTATAATTAATTATACTTAATATAATATCATTAATATTTGTCCTTTATAAAAATAAATTAACTGATTTATTTAAAAAGTGGTTAGGAAAAAATTTAAAATGATTTAAATTTATGAAATAAAGGACATTTAAAAGCTGCGAAATATGCAATGCCTACAATGGCATCAAAGTAACCCACCAATGATCCACTCAAAATTATTCATTTCCAACTCAGTTGACGACAGCATAAATTCAAAAGAACCTTTTGGGCGGCAAAAACCTTAAAGTGGTTATGCTTATAATCTAGAGTGTATTAAAAGAAATTTATTTTCTAAGTAAATGTTATTTTTTATGTGTGTTGTTAAATAAATATTTGTATGTTGTTAAATAAATGTATTTTGTTAAAAAAAAAAATTATTTTCAAAATAAAATATGACACATAAAATATTAGAGTTTAACTGCATTTATTTATATTTTTAATTTCATTGAATTATACTAAAAAACCTATTATGTGTTTATACCTATAATGTTTGTATAAAACCTATAATGTGTTTAATATTTTTCCCTTTCTTAATATTTTTCATATTTAATTGTCACGTGTATTTTTTAAAATTCCCTCGACGTTTTCTTTTAGAGTATATAGATTAGAAATTTTAAGTTGGGAAACTGTACGGAACTGAAAACTACATTAAACATAGTTCTAAAAGAAAGCATCATGGACGTTTTAAAAAAATATTTTTATTAATTAAAAACAAGAATATTAGGAAAAGGAAAAATATTGTAGTACATTCCTTTACGACTGAAAAGGGGAGGAGAGGGAAGGGAGAGGGGCCAAGGCCATGAAACCGGTCTTCTCCCCAGATGGCGTATTCGAGCGGTGCTATCTCCTATAGTACATAATAAATTGTTTGTGTAAGATGAAATCTGATTAACATAAATAATTATGATAGTCCCGCTGATTTCGTGTTAACGAGGTTCGACTGTTATGCACATACAAAGACCAATGTAATGTTTAGAAGGAAAGCTTTGTTGAACAACTATCTTCTTTAATACTATTCTGAGCCCACAAGGCTTGTCCAACTGAAAAAAACTTGCTAAAATATTGTTAGACAAATAAATTTTGAAAATAAGAAGCTTGGCAGAAATTGTTATTTGCAGAGGAAAGGCCGTTAATTTATACATATAGTACATATTACAACAGCACCAATTACCTAATATCAATAACACCTATTACCAAAAAGTTTTCGATTATTATCCTTAAATTGTTAAAAAGAAGGGGCAACAATTTTTAGGATGTGGGCACTCGCTTAAAATATTAAGTGTTAAATCTGAAATGATGAGCATAATTACATGTTTGACAAAACTAACTGCAGAGCCGCGAAGGCTCAGGGGTTAGAGCGTTCGCTTTCCAATAAAGCGAACCGGGTTCGAATCCAAGTCTATACGAATTCCGCACACACCATGCTTGCACCGACCACAGTGCTGACATGAAATATCCTCAGTGGTAGACGGATCATGGGTTAGACTACTCTCGCCGTGTAACGCAATTAGCTCCATCGAAAAGTCCACCACGAAGGCAAAATTTCTCCCAATACTCGATCTAGGAGTTCCCTTGTCTTCTGAATTGGGTTCAAAATTGCAAGGCTACGGAGTTGAACATTAGTAATCGTAAACACATTAAAAATTGGGTCGACTGTTTAACGACGGTTATAAAATAAAATAAAACTAATGGCAACTTTTTCTTAAAACTCCGCATGACTCAGAGGGAACAAATGAAGTGTACATATGAACGATACACAGAGATAGTCAAACTTTATTTTGTTCCCTGTTAGTAGAGATTGTTGAGCTGATGCAAATTATACTTAGTCTGCATGTCTAAGATACAAATTATATCTTTGAGACTGCAACATATCACTAAGCGGAAATCTCCCTTTTTTATTTCTCAATTTAAACCAAAAGAAGCTGTTATTAATTTTAACCGGTTAGTATTAATAATAACTAGATATATCACTTTAACCGTACGACATATGCAAAGAGGCACACCCTTGACCTAGTGCTATATAAATCATTTAATGGCATTGACCAAACTTCATTGGTTATTATTAATAATGACCCGGATTTATTACTTTAACAGTAATATATATATAGTAACACACACAAACATATATACAGTATATGAGCAACATTTTCTCCATTTTATTGTTCCAGAAAAAAATACATATGTGCTCCCTAATTTGTGTTTATTTCCTTTGGTATGGTAGTATAGTAAGTTTTATTATAATACCTGATTGAGTTTGAATCTTATAAGTTATATTAAGGAGAGATACGAGACTGTACAATATATGAGCAACAATTTCTCAATTTTAAAGCTTTAAAACGAAATTAGAAATATATACATACATACCTAAATATTGTGCCACATTGTGGTCCCTCTAATTAGTCTATAATAAATTCCTTTGGTATGGTAGAAAAGTATGGTATAATTTTAATACCTGACAGAGTTTAAATATTAAAGAAGGCTATATGTACAGCTATATGTATAGTTTAAAAGGGAGTACCACGCCCCCTTTTTAAATAATTATTTCGCAGGCTCTCTAATTTGTTTATAATTATTTCCTTAGGCATAGTATAGTATGTTATAAAATACCTGACTGAGATGGCATATTATAGGTTTATATTACGGGGATATATAATCCATATATATGCAGTATATAAGCAAAAATTTCTTCATTTTAATGCTATTTTACGTACTTTGAAATATATTTCTACTTCCTTAAATCTTGTGGGCCATATTACCATATTATAGTATGATACCTGACAGACTTTGAATTTTATATGAGGAGAGACATAAGGTCATATATGTATGCAGTATAAAAGTAAAAATTTTTTTCATTTTAATGCTATTTTGCACTTCAAAATATAAATACTTAAATATTGTGGCTCATTGTAGGCCGTTTAATTTGTCTATTATAAATTCCTTTGGTACGGTAGTATAGTAAAGTATGTTATATATTTCCTGACAGAGTTTGAATATTATGGGTTAATATTAAGGGGCGATAGGGGGTCATTTATATGTACAACTTTTAAAGTGTCACGCTCCCTTTTTTCTATAATTATTTCCCATGCTCCCTAATTTGTGTCTAATTACTTACTTAGGTATGATTGTATAGTATGTTACAACATAATACCTGACCGAGTTTGAATATTATAGGTTTGTATTATATGGGGCCAGATATATATATGCAGGAGATGTTTTCAGATCATCTTCAGGGATGTTTCTTGAACCGTTGTCAATGGCCATTGTGCAGTTCTAGTATGATGTAAATAAAGTACTACTACTACTACAAATAAGACAATAAATAATTTTATTTATAAAAAAACTATACCCCTTATTTACAAAAGAACAATTTCATATATTTTTATTTATTTTTTACAATAAAAACATTAATATATGTAAGAAAAAAAAATTTCAAGTCAAGAAATTTATGCTTATTCACATAATCAAAAGTGATAGATCATTTAGATTTTCAATGCGTTAATTTTATTACGATTCTAATGGAGTTTTTATAAAAATATGCTTGATGAATAAAAATTGGAAAACATTGCAAAATAAAAGTTTTGTTATAAGGAAAGATTGATTTTATGATGATTTATATATTTTCTCTGAAATCTAAATTCTTTCAGTCAACAATGGTCAAGTAACAAACAGATCATATATTCAATTTTCAAGAACTATAGTAAAAAAAAATTTTGGTAAATCTTAAGATTCACTTTTACAACTGTCGACTCAAATGTAATTGTTTTTGTTTAATATAATTACATTTGTTCCTTAACGTCATTTTTTACAAATTAGCACCCATTTATTTAATATTTTTGCTAAGAAATCTATAACAAATTTTTGTGCTGAGATATTTTAATTTTTAGAAAAAAAATAATATTTGATACATTTAATTACTGATTTTTTTAAAAAAAAAACACATTTTGATAAATTTTTCATAACATTAAATTAAAGAAGTTGTTAACGAATTATTTATAACACTTTTAGTGTTTAGAATAGAAAACTTTTAAACACAGTCTTTAAAAGTATTTCAGGAATTATCATCAATAAAAATATAGTTATTATTTGCATATATAGTGTGAAAGGATGGTCATTTGCTCCTCTCGAGCACTTTCTCGATGACAGAAATCAGTGCCCTCTTCTCAGTAGAGTCTGCCAATATGGAGATGTGACTGAGTGCTTCATTGCAGTGCTTCCTTGCCAGCAGTCTCGTGTGATTCAGTCCATCACTCTGAAAAGTAAATTTATTTACAATTTATGAGGGCAAAACATTAAATCAGGCTTTAACCCCTTAATGATCGGTTAATTTTCATGAAAACGGTCATTAAAGTGCATATTTTGCCAAATACACGTATTTGATTAGTGCTGACATCTAGTTTAAAATAAACTAACTATCTACAATAACTTAAAAAATATCCTGGTACTGCCATCTGGTGGGTAAAATGAGAAATAAAATGTTTTCCGGGCAAAAGAAATGAATTAGTTTTATTCTCATTGACGCGTTACTACTGAACATTCCAGCCTGGAAATTTCACGGGAGCGAGAAATAGAGGGTGAAACCTCACCCGTCATTTTCGCAGAATGAGAAGGAAAGGGTTAATTCACAAACAACATGCTGATACTGATGGATCACATGTCAAAAACAATTTTTTTTTTTACGGCTGATACTGAACTTTCGTTCTTCACCTCCGAAGGTGCCGGAAGTGAAGTGTTGCTCATTTAACGATACCCCAGTGGGCACCCACTGTAAATTAAGTTTTCCTGCCGAATTAAGTCTTCTAAAATTAGTAACTAAAAAAAATTTGATTTCTGTTTAAAAGGTAGGTCATACTTACGTTAATAACAGCTTCATAGGCTTTTTCAACATCACCCAGCTTTGAAAACCTTCTTTGAATCAATGGCTTTAATTCAGGATACTTAAATAAAAGAAATTTACATAGAACAAGCAGTAAAAGGTAGGATAAAAACATATCGTACACAAAATAATTGTTTTTAAACTGATTCCTGAAATAAGTAACTACTGAACATTTGAATGAAATTACATAGTTTGTCTAAAGTAAGAACTCCCCTAGCCATTCGTCTGGACCTGTGCCAATGACTATGATAATGAGGTATAACTATTTCAAGTAGGGATGTGGGGTCATTGTTTAGGACAGGTTTTGGCTCAGGTCGGCGCGAAAGAAAGGTAATCTTTTTCTTTGGTCTGTTGTGTTAGCTCTAGAGTGAAGAGAAGCCACCCTCCCTGTAATGCGCTATTCTTGTTTCCATAGCAGCAGACGGCCTCAGACTTTGGGGGCTGAGGGAGTTCTTACTGTAGACAAACTATAATAATTGCGAGTATTAAAATTGATTTAAAAGGCTTGATCAAAAAATGTGAACTACCTAAAACTTTGATTTCAGCAAGTTTGAATTATTCATGTCCGACAGTATTTTTGAGGAAAAAAGGAATGATTTCAATAACCTCAAAGTTTTAGCAAACAGAATTTGTTTTCTAAATTTGTTGGATAAATAATAAAAAAAACACTCCGCAAAGAATAAAAATCTTGATTTATTTATTCCATCATAAATAAAATAAAAAATTGCAGACATTATTTTATTTAGATATGCTTTGTATTCCATCAACAATATGAAGTATCAAAATTTGCACAACCAGTATCAAAATTTGCACAAACAACAATTTCAGAGGGAATGCATTTTATTTAACTATGCAACTTGCCTTTTTCCCGTTAGTGGTTTCATTTCAGCTTTTCAATGAAATTTAATTGTTTATTCTGATCAGGGTTACTTATGGAAATATTTATCCAAATTTCTGCACATGTTTTGCAGCATTTTGCATGCTCTTTTCATAGATCAAATATGTCTGGTAGAAAGCCTTTTGAGAGTGAAGCCAGAATTCTTTTTCAGGAATATAGGTTATAACCTATATTCCTTAAAAAAATTATTACACTGATAGAGGTACTGACTGATTTCAAATATATTGAAGATAGATGCGGCAGAACAGATGCGAATTTCTCAGATTCCGATTAATCTGATGATTCATTTTCTATCCAAATGTTTGTAGTATAAAATGTTTTACCTTAGTATTTTATAAGTTAAATAATAATTTAACTATGATTAATTTTCAAAATTTAGCTTTTATATGAATATTCTTCAATTTAAATTTTTTGACAGCCTTTTTTTATCAATTCTGTTATGGAGAAAAAAAATCTTTTACCAAAATGTTTGGTAAAAAAAGGTTTTCACTAAAAACGAGGATTACTCTAAAATCTTTGTAAATGTGAACTACGTAATAAACAAACACGTAATTTTTTATATTCCAGCTGCGTAATATTGTTATTAATAAATAAAAAAAGATATAAAAGCCTGGAACAAAATTACCTTTTGGCTTGCAAATAACACAGGAGCAGTAGCTAAACCTAGCCTCAAGTCGGCTGTTGTAGGTTTACCCATTTCTGATTGGCTGGAGATAAAGTCGAGTAAGTCATCAATTAGCTGAAGAAAAAAATTAAGAAAACTCAGAAAGTACAAAGAATATGTTTTATTACAAATAAAAGAACATTTATAATGCACATGAGCAATTGAAAAAGTGTCACTGAATTCAAGGAATAAAACAGAGACTACATATTCCTACGAAGAAAAATGTCTAATCAGCATACTATAAAGAGTATGCTGTTTTCATGCTGGAAATAATGCAATTTAGAAGTTTTTGGCCCCTATAACATATCATACTGTTTAAAATCGAACTAAAAACTTCACATACATAAAAATAATGCATTTTTAAGATATGCAATATTTTTAACAAAATTAAACACATTTTTATCAATCCAAACACTCAATGAACATAAAATAAAGCATTTTTAAGCTATGCATATATATATATATTTTTTTTTTCAAATGAGATGCTAACCAATTGCAATCCTCAAATAATAAAGCAATTTTCAAAACCAAGAAGCAAATTAAAATAATTAAATTAAAAGAACATAAGAGTTTAACAAATAAAAAAGTTCAGAAAGTATAAATTATTTCATCACATTATTAAAGTCAGTTATTAAAAAATCGCATATTAGACATAACCAGTTTAAAAACTGTTGTCCCATTGTGCTCTGTAATTTTAAACTCTTTCAATTATTACTTTATTTAACTAATTATAAATATTAAATGGAGTTGGTGGTGATCAAGCATATCTAGAGAAATTAGCTGAGCGCCTAAAAACTTCATTTTAACGTAAAGAAAAATATTTCGGTTGACTTTTTAAGTCTTCCTAGTGATAAACCATTCAAATTATTGTTGTTTACCTGATAATCAATCAGAATTTATGGGAAAAAAATTTCCCACTTTTTACCTGAGAATATATTTATTTTAAAAAATATATAACGCAATGTTTTTGCTCTGACCGTATTTTTCGGCGAAAGTGCCGCGACGATATCTAAATTTTTTTTCCCTACATGCAATACTACCAATGAAATAATTTTTCAGCGCAAAAAAATTTCTCAAGGAAAATTATTTACGATGAAATAATTTTCTGGGAGAAAAACTGGGATTAGAAAGAAAGACATTTAATATATATTAATTGATATATCATACCTGAAATGCAATCCCAACATTTCTTCCATACTGGAAAGCTGTCTCTTGAAGTGTCTGATCAGCTCCACCAAGTACAGCAGCCTGCAAATATAAACACAACTTGATTCTCCTCTCTTTTCAGGATCTTGTTTTTATCAAAAATTGATCAATGCTTATTAAAATGTAAAAAAAAAATTGTTTATTGAAATCAAGTGTTGCTGGTAAAGGTCACTGAGCAGATAAATAACCTTTGATGAGTTTTTAAAGGCACCGTTTATATGCGGTCGCTAAACTGTTCTATCGTAAAGTGCTCTCAAGTTCATGAACAAGTCGTTGGGCTACCCAAGCGGGGGTGCCATCTCCTCTGCAGAGGATCAAAATTGTGATGGCATGCCTTCTGAACTTTCCAACGGATGTTTTCCACATCCTCCGCCAATAGCGTATTGTGTAGGCATGAATAAAGTACTAGTATTACTATGTATAATAAAAAATATCTAATTTATAGAAACAACAAATATGTTAAATAAGCAACACAAATATTTGTTTCTTCTAAGTTTTATTTAGCAGCTCATGGTAAATTCCCCAGTCATGGTCTTTAGTTTGGGTATCAGGTCTGCAAGCAATTACATCAGATAAAGCTGCACAAATTAAGCTGTTCAGAGAATGGGTTGCAAGATTTTCTCTAATGTAATCAAACGCCATGTAAAAAATATAACCATCTCGATCCTTTGAGACCTTTCTACTCATAACAAGGTATACATACACTGGGTGCCTGGACATATGGGTATTCTTGGTAATGAGCTGGCTGAGGAATTAGCACCGGTTGGCCCCAGTGTGATTTTATGTGGCCCAGAACCAGCTTTGGGAATTTTTCCTACGTCTTTCAGGGCATCTATTTTCAAGCTCTATGGCGAAATTGCCTATGAGTAATGACGCAACTCAGACGGTCAGAGACAAGCTAAGGAGTTAAATCGTGACTGCCCCAATGTGCCTCAAATACAGCTTTTTAAGCTTAACAGGAATATCTTGAGAAAGATCATTGCTCTTCTTACTGGTCACTGCACCCTCACGAGAGACCTTTACATTATGGGTACACTGCACCTGACATTGGTACACATGGGTACATTGCTCTGTCGAGGTTGTCATCTTAAAGAGGAGATTTCACGATATATACTTTGTGAGTGTGAGGTAACTAGGAAAACATTTTGATAAAGCCTGGGAACTACATGATATTCCTGTAAGATGTTTGCTCAACTTTGTCTCAGATATAAAGCTCTTCCGCTAGTCATGATCTAGGGTTTGGGTACAATAGATCTCTAAGTTTAAATAAAGCTAAAATAAGAACTTTCCCCTAGAAATCTGAATTATTTTTAAAATGTCACTTAGTTCATTCTTCCATCAAGCTCTTCATATATTAACATTAAAAAAATGTTTCAATGTTATAAATTTTTCTGCTATCTTTCTGCTTTTTTTTTTTTTTTTTGCTATCCTTCTGTTTTTTTCTGCTATCCATTCTGCTTTTTATGCAATCCTAAATCTTTTTAAAGTTAAGCATTGAAAAATGAGTCAAGTATTTTTTATTTACAAGTAAATTTTTACAGTATTTTAGTGGTTAAGTAGAATTACTCCATGACAACCATTTTTTTTTTTTTTAAATGAGCACCATATATAATGACAAACGTGGTTCTATTGAGTACTAAAGGTAACTCGCAAACTCTCTTTTCTCACTCCTCTAGACATTAGAAAAAAATTTGAAGTAGTAAAAACCAATTTTCAATTTAAGTCTTGCAATATTTTATTTTATTCATTTGTTTGTGTGCATGCGTCTAAGAAAGTTTTTTCTAACTTCACAGAAAACTTGAACTAAAAATTATTCTGAAAACTTAGTTCAAAAGTAAAAAGATGGGAACATTCAAAAATATTTGCTTAGTAAATGAATTATACCTACTGCTTTACAGGTGTATGCAGTCAGACTGGCTGTCTTTTTGAAAGTTTTTTGGAGATAGTGAGTAAACCTTTCAGATTCTTCTTCTGAACAGTTCATTTGCATAAACTCTCCCTGAACGAGATCTAGAAGTACCTTTTTAAAGAGAAGAACTTTTTAGTTAGAGCAGAGAATTATAATAGTATTTTTTCAAAGATCAGTTCATATCCCATTTCGGTGAATTAGAATTACAATTTACGACTAAAATATTAATATTTATGAATATTGTACAAATATTATATTGTATTGCATAAACTCTCCCTGAACAATATCTAGACTCCTTTATTTATCTTACTATCTTTTTAAAGAGAAGAACTTTTTAATCAGAGCAGAGAATTATTATTGTATTTTTCAAAGCGCTGTTCAAATACCATTTTGGTGAATTAGAATTACAATTTGCGAATTTAAGTATTAATATTTATGAATATTATATAAATATTATATTGTATTGTATAAACTCTCCCTGGACGAGATTAATAGAGCAGTGAACTATTGCATTTTTCAAAGCTTTTGTTCAAACCCTATTTCAATTAATTAGAATTTGCGAATAAAGTACTAATATTTATGAATATTATATAAATATTATATTGTATTGTATAAACTCTCCCTGGACGAGATTAAGAAGTACCTTTTTAAAGAGAAGTACTTTTTAATTAGAGCAGTGAACTATTGCATTTTTCAAAGCTATTGCTCAAATCCTATTTCAATTAATTAGAATTTATGAATAAAGTATTAATATTTATGAATATTGTGTAAGCAATATTTGACACAAATTTTATTTTACTTGGAGCAACTTAAATTTTTGTCACAGTCTATTATTTAAAATTGTTAATGAATAAAGTCACCTTTTTTAAGTACTCTAAAAAATGAACACATTACTTTTGTTACAGGCAGTTTAAATAATAATTTAAAATCTTCACCTGAGCTAAAAGATGGACAACATCTTCATTTCCTAACTGAGCGAGTATTCTGGCAGCTTGAGCTAATATGAAGTCCCCAGCTAGTATTGCCTAAAAGAAGAAAAAAAAGGAATATTTTCTTCATAATTAAACAAAAAGAAATCTCGATAAAGCACACCATACACATTATGTTCTTTATACAAAACCAGAAAACTGACTTTCGTAAAATATTTACGAAAAAAACGGGTTTTTTATAGGATAAAAACAGAAATCTTCGTAAAAATCCAAATATTTCTGTTTTTTATTTTATTTAAAAAAATATATTTAGAGTAATGTAAAATTGTAAAGTTTAATGGAAGAGTACCAACTTACTCATGGTTATTAAATATGATTAAGAAAAAAATTTGGGTGACATCTTTAAAAATTAATATTGTGATTGTTGTAAATGACTGTCATAAATTAGTCATAACTAATTTATGGCAGTCATGAACTTAATAACTGACATAAAATAACTATGAGTTGTTTTTTTGATGATTATTCCTTTCTATAATTGTGTATTCAAATTTTCAGAAAAGAGCATTTGAAACTTTAAATACAATTCATATACTAGTTAAGTTCAATTTTCTAGTTAATAGTGCAGCAGCATAGGTAGCTTAAGAAATTTATTGGAAAATCAACCACCAATCCAAATGTAAATAAGTATAAATCATTTAATTTTATTTATTAAAATATAATAATTTGATTTACATTTATTTTTTTTAACTTAAATAATTTTTCTAACGATATATACACTGCTTAATATTTCAATTACATCAAAAATTCAATCTTTCAAACATAAAATAATAATATATAGTTATGAATTTATAAATAAAATACAGAGCTGCAGTAAAATTTTACTAAAACGGTACTTAGGTACCTGAAAAAACACACTAATATTTATGCATTTCAAGAGGTTGAAAAAATTAAATAATGAAAGAAAACATCAAATCTATTTTTTATTTTGTTTAATTTGAAAAATATTTACAGGTTTCTTTCAAACTAATCCATTTTAGTTTTATTTCAGTTTTTATTTATAAAATGTGTAAATTTCAGAAAAAGAACTTCCTTCAAAAGTTTTTTTGCACGTCATTTGCTATAGTTAAACATTGAAGTTTTTCAATGGTAATCTAACTATTGTTCCAGGAAAACTTAAAATCTCTTTCTAAAAGGATAGTTAAAAACTCACTGCTTGCCAATTTAATATTCTGACAACAGAAATACTTTGTCTTTCAATAACTGGAAAGATAGAGGGGTAAGTTTTTGAATGTTTTTTTTTAAAAAAAAAAACTTTGCTATGAGTCTTTTGGTTTTCCCGTGATGCTGGTCAACCTAATTTAACCCACAAAGTACATCATTGGTTAACATAGATTGATAAAGATAAAAAACACAGTTGCAACATTTATTAATGAATATAATGTTTACCTAAAATAAAGCATGCATAAAATAAAAATATAGAATATATAGAATAAATATGTTTTTATAAAAAAAAAGAAGAAAAAAAAGAAAGGAAACCTTTTTTTGGCCCCATAATACATTAACGCTTGATTTGCCTCTTCGAGTATCAGATGTGTCAATGACATCGTCGTGTACCAGACTGGCAGTGTGAATCATTTCTGCTATAATGGCCATCCTATGTTGAGTATTCAAAAGTCTGAAAACAACAGTAAAAAATTTATATTAAAAAATACAATCATTCATTGCAAAAATAAAATCAATACACAAAATAACTTGAACAAATTGCTTCACCAACTAAGAATGGCCATGCATGCACCTTCTACAAAATAAAAATAAAAGCTCTTAAATGGAGGCTATGCTCTGATTGAAACACTTCATGATGAATTCTCTTTCTTCTGTTTAAGTAATTTAAAAACTTTAAAGAATAAAGAAAGTGAGTTCAGGTAAACCTAGAATAAAGAGCCGTGATGGATCAGGGGATAGAGCGTTCGCCTTCTAATGAGGTGAACCCGGTTCGAATCCCAGCGAAGGCTGGTCGATTCGAATTTCGCACCCGGCTTGCACCGATCACAATACTGACGTAAAATATCCTCATAGGTGGACGGATCATGAGTTAGAATCCCCTTGACGTCAGACTAACCGTGGAAGGTTTTTGTGGTCTACCTCTCCATGTAACGCAAATGCGGGTTAGTTCCATCAATCATCGATCGGTTAGTTACATCGGTCCAAGTTAAACTGTTATACCGTAAAGTAATTTGAGAGTAGTTACCAACAATGGAGAGCTATCCCCTCCGCAGAGGATCAAAATTGTGGCGGCATGTTTTCGTATAATACTCGGAGATGTTTCCCAGATCGTCACCAAAAGCCCATTTTGCGAGCCGTGTTAGCTTAGGGAATAGAGTCCCGCTGCTCTCAGGCTAACCGTGGGAGGTTTTCCTTATCATGTATCGCAAATGCGGGTTAGTTCCATCAAAAAGTCCTACACAAAGGAAAATTTCACCCAATATTTGATCCAGGAGTTCTCTTGTCTTTTGGATTGGGTTCAAAATTACAAGGCTACGAGTTGAACATTATTACTCGTAAACCCAAAAAATTCGGCCGGCTGCTTAACGACAGTTATAAAATATAAAAACCTAGAATAAAGCATGAAATTTCAAATGCTGAAAAAAAGTTTTCACAATTTCTTTCAAAATGCAAACAAATTATGTAAGGACTACTTAGGACAACACAGTGGGGANATTATAATAAATAATTTCATGTTTTACATTAGGTGTTTAGCACTAGAAAGACGGAAAATTAGTATATACCTATATTGCCTAAAAGCAGTCAAAATGACTGGATCGTGAATGCATAAATAAATTTTAATAAAATTAATTTTTAACATTTTTTATATTATTTACAGTTATATAACAAGTTATTAGTAAATATTCACAATAAAAAAAAATTATATGTTGCACAAAAAGTCACAAAATTCTAAGAAATTGTGTCATTATATACATCATTGTTTTTCTAATTGAAATTAAAAGCAGTCAAAATGACTTCCTTAGGCAATCTAGTGTTAAGGACGCACGTAGTGACGTATGTTTAAAATTACTTTTATAATAAATGCAGCTATAATTTTATACATAAATTTAGCGGTTTTTAGTAGAAAATATATATAGCATAGAGTAACACTGGATAATGTTTTCTCTATTCTTGTTTTCCATTCAGATTTCATTTATGGTTAAGATTTATAAAATAAATAGTAGATACTAGTTTGCAAGATAAAAAAGCATAACTTTTTTTAAAACTATGTGTAGTGTTTATGAATTTAAAAGCTGTTTTGTGTTGTTTAAGTATTTCAAATGGGGGGTTATCGCTCTATGAGCTTCCAACTGCGAGTATTACTAGCCAACTATACATTTATTATATTCTGCTGCCTCATGGCTTCATGGTGCTGATAAATTACTACTCAAAGATGACAAGGCAACATGTCTGCATTCAGGAGTGTGCAACTCCCTGCATAGCCAGCATGTTCCCCCATTCTCAATCCCAGTAAAAAAAAATTGAGATACTTAGGGAAAGAGTTCATTATGATCTCAAAGACACCCACTTCCGCACAGAAGAGTGTTATAAACTACTTATTAGCAAATCTTACTTCTTACATATAGTGTTTTCCTGATTGGTAAATTCTTATTTGCCAAGAGAATGCTGCTTACACATAACATTTACAATAATGAGACATTAAAAACAAGTGAAAAGATGGTAAAAACCTTTCTAATATCTGAGTAGAGGTTTAAGAGATCAGGTTCAGCTAGTTTGAAAGGATCTATGATGTCCGATAGTGGAGCTGTTGCTGTTACATAGACAGGAGGAGGTGTCTGGTGCTGATGTGTGGATAATGTTGAGAAGTGTCTCAGTTTGGAAATGGTCTGTCTGCTGGCTTTGCCTATGTGCTTCCCACACATAGAATGAAATAAACCCCTAAACTGGAAAAAACCAAAACACAATTTAAATAAATTATACGGAAATTTATCGAGGATATAATTTTTAAAGGTAGCATATGGCATATCCCTGATAGTAAATACCGTTTTGTTCGATAGTGGGGCTTTCAGGAGAACTCCTCCAGACATCAGTCTCACGTCGTGGCGGGTACCATGGTTACGAGGAAAAGTCACTTCGAATAGGGGTGTGGGGTGAGTAGTTTTGTCTTGATCTTGACATGGGTCAGCGTGAGTAAACCAATCAACACCTTCATTCTTCCGATGCACCTTCATTAGAAATGTGCTCTCGCTTGTTACCATAGCAGCAAACAGCCCTAAACTTTTAGTCTGCAGAAGTTCTCCTCAAAGCGGCACAATAACCAGGGTTTTTATAAAAACTAACTGACCCAGGTAAATTTTATTAAGCATTTTTTTGGGTTTTATTGTGTTCTTTAAAAATTTATTCAAAAATGACAGTTTTTGGATTTAAATTCCAATTTTTATTTCAAAAGTGATCAATTTTAATTAGAAAGAAAATTATAGTAACATAATAATTCAATAATTAAAATAAAAAGTCACTTTATTGTAGTAGTACCATTTTTTCTGGTGGATATTAATATAAGGTTCCTAATTTTTTCCTTTTATGACCAGCAATATAAACGCATTATTGGGGTCAAAGAATTATGCTGTCTTCGTTGCAATAATTTTATTGTTTCTAAAATTCAAAAAAAAAATTTTTCTTTTTTAAACCTTTTAAGTTAGAGTTTTGATTTTTAATTAACATGAAGTAAGTTGCAGCCGATTGTGTTACTTTTGGGTGATTTTTTTAAAACTTTAACTTTAGCGTAAGACAATTAAAAAAAAATCCATCTCATCATCAATTTAATGTTGATCATTTTTACATTTAGTACACAAATCAATAACTAGCAGTGAAAAAACATTAAAAATAAAAATTAGTGACAATTTTGAATTGTAATTGCATGGAAAAATGCAATTACTTTGCCACACTTAAAAGGACGCCATAGTGCGGGAGAAAATTTTCTTCCCAATTTCTCTTTATCCTTCATTACTAATTTAAAATTTAAAGGAAAGAAAAAGTAAGTCCAGGCAAACCTAGAGTAAGACGTGAAGAACTTTTTTAAAACGGAACTAAAACGACCAATAAATCTTCAATCACACATATAAGTTATCACCTATTGATTTTTAACCAATACCTTCGTTCTTTTAACCTTCTTTCGACTTTCCTATGGTTTTTCAGCAATTACTGTTACAGCTTTCGAAAAGCCTTTTTGAAATCCCGATGCTTTTAATCGGCAAGCGCACGACTTGTGGAGATTCCGTCGTTTTTTGATAGATTTTTCGGCAGTTATACCTATGGATTTCTAAATTATTTTAAAATTCCGATATTTTCATAACGGAACTATTAGGCAAGCTACTGTCAGTACTGTTACTGAATCTCGAATCGCACAAATGAGTAATTACCATACGATTTTCCACCACGTTTGATCGATTTTGCACCGATTTCATCGCAAATCTATGTGGTTTTCGATCGCACTAATGACCCAAAGTCAAAGAAATATATATTTTTTAAAAATGGTAAAAAACAACAACTTAAAATTTCTCTAAAATGCCTTACTTATGACAAATAAATTGCAGAATAGATTTATGACAAAAATAAAATTCCACAATTATTCAGAGAAAGGGAATCAAACGATATTTTGTCATCTGATGCTTCGAGATAAACCAATTTAGAACAAGAAGAAGAAAAAAAAAAGAAAGGTCATCAGCCAGCCGTGACCTTGAAGTAAAGAAACAGGAACTAGGAAATGGTCTTTTTTTTCTTCAGGTAACGGAGGTGCACTTAGCCCGGAGCAAAACGCTTCTTCATGAGCATCGGTTAAACAAAACTCAGCGGAATGGATACGTGTCATCAGTAGTTGAACTCAGACGGTCGACTGACCTAAACCAATTTTCCTTAGGAAGTGGAACATTCGAGTTCTTTCCTTCTCTCGCCCCCCTTTCGCGAAGATTTTAGCAAAAGACAATTGCAAGTTTCATAAGAAAGAATAACTTTAGGAAGAAAAAAAAATACTTATTTTTAATCATTTCTATTTGATTGAAATTTAGGCAGATGCTTCTTTTATTTGAAAAGCGTAAAACATTCCTGTAAACTAATTTCATCAGATAGAACAAACACTACTAATGTCAGGGTTCCCACTCAGAAAAAAAAATTCCCAGACTTTTCCAGGTACAGTCCATGCCCACGTTATTCTCCGCACTCTAAGATTCTACGTAAAATCTTAATTATCAGGTGATACTATGCAGTATTATTTTTTTTTACGCGACTGAAACCGGTTTGTACTTGTTTATGTTCGTGTATCAATTAGTTAACATTGTAATGCAATACGTTAAAAAAATAATATATTAATGCAAATAGGAAGAACATAAAAAATCTCCTAAATAAAAACCCATTACATGTTTTTCATAGAATCGTAGATATGGCCAGTGACTGTATACCAGGTAAATTTCAGTGAAAATCGAGATCATATTTTCATCAGAAAACTTTTGATTCTTTTATTTGCAATGTGAAATATTAGATTTCCTGTGTAAAAAAAAATGTCATTAAATGAGGATGGGGTTATTTCAGTTTGACTAAAATGTAAAATTTTTACAACAAATAATTGTAATAGATGTTAGAATTACTTGAATCGAATCTCATTGACTGATTACTGTTACGGACAATATTTAAGACTGGTTATTTTCCAGGTATGGATATAGGAAAAATTCCAGGATTTTGCAAAAAAAAAAAAAAAAATTGCAGCTTTCCCTGATTTTTAGTTAAAATAAAATTCCCTGACAATTCCAGGTTTTCCCTGTTCTCACTGACCTGTGTGAGCCCTGTAGTAATAAAATGAGTCTTCGTCAATTAAAGAATTATCGCTTTCAAATATAAAATTTTATTTTATTTTTACTAAATACATATTTCCTCATCATAATTTTTAATCCAGACTATAGAATGGAAAAGACACTACACCTGTTAGTAATTAACCAGCATTCTCTATAATTCAAAACAAAGGGCTACTCACATGATACGAGGTGGGGGGGGGCAGAAAATTCTCAGAGCTAATCTTTTCCCAGAACATAGTTCTTTAGGTTCGAAATCCCTCCCCAAAAAATAGCGTTTTCTTCCTTGCTATCTTTTTTTTTTCTTAGCTACAATAAATTTATCAAAACTAGTGGGTTGCACCCCCTGCTCGCTAACGCTCGCCAACCTCCGAAAATTGCTACGCAAACCAAGCTCGCTTCGCTCGCTACTAACTTAGGTACATTGCAAATGCACAAAATTCAAAGAATTCAAAAAAATCATTCAAATCCATTTAAAAACTTTTTTTTTTAAAAAAAATTACATCTTTTTAGTAAATACTAAGTCATTAAAATAAATTTATCAAAAATCGTCAAATAAATTCTCGTTAAATAAATTCGTAATATATAAATTCGTGAAAGGAAGCGCTTTCGACAAAATACTAAAATAGAGATCTATCGACAAAGACTACTCACTCCTGCCTAGCTTAATAGTATGAGATTGCCGTAGCTGATGCTCTCTGGTTATTTCCGTTTCCGTTTTTAAAAGCGCTATATGTTGAGCCACCTCAGCTAGATTTAGCATGTGACATTTTTAGCGGCAATCATTGGTCCATTTTCTAGCGTTGCCATTCGGGGAGTTGTAATGAAGCTTTTTTTTGTCGCCGTGTAAGAGAAATATATATATATAGATATTTAATTAGCTAAATTAGTATATTTTTAAAATTTGATATTTTTTCTAAGAAAGAGAAAAACTTTATTTAATTTTACACAATTCTTTAAAAAATAATAATAAAAATAAATAAACTAAAAAATGCATAAAAAAATAATTTTAATTAAAAAAAATATTGAAATAGTAATAATTCATAAAACTAAATTTATGGTTCATATACTAAAGAGGAATTCAAAGTAATAAAATAAATAAATTCACATATAAGGTTAGGTTATTTGAGTTATATTTGCTGTAACAGAAAATGTTCTTTTTCTTTTTAAACAGCAAGCTGATATAGCAGATGGAATTAAAAAAATATATTAAAATAAGCTTTAAATTGTAAAAAAAAAAATTTTTACTGGGAAAAATTTTTATCGTATTTTTATTCATTTTTTTTTAAAATAATTAAATTGAAAACATTTTCCAATGCTGCTTGAATTTTCCTGAACATCGGCCGCGCGATCGGACATATTCTGCACCTTTGCATCTGTGATCCCATCAAGTGGAAGGCGCAAAAATACATCACTCTGAATAACTTCCCTTCTAATGATCGGATTTTCACGAAATAAGTGTATATCTTAATGGTTCAAAGGGGTGACCTTAAATATTTTAAGATATAAGAGCAGACGATAAAGTTACGAAATCAGGTACAAAACGTGGTTTCCCTGAATATATATACCGTTTTTTTTTAAAGTTTTGGATGTTTGATTATCAAAGTATGAAAAGAGGCAAAATGCATAGTCGCCACCTCTCACAAAGCGACTTATGTAAAATATGTTAAATAAATTTAATTAAATAATAGCTAATAGTTAAATAATAATAGTTACAATATAATTAAATAAATTTAATTTTTCGACGAAAATGCGACCCCAGTGCTTCAAAACACGTACTTTCAATTCTTTGTATTACCTATTACACTTGAAAGCTGTAATTATCCCCGGAAAGTACAGCTTTCGAATTATAAAATTTTAAAGAAGGCGTACATTAAAAATTTGATTTCTCGAAAACTTTTCTACCGATTTAGTTCAAATTCTGTATTTCGCCATTTAAAATCACGCTCTTTAAATAACGTAAAAAATATATACATACCTTACAATTGAAAAATTTTTTTAGTCATTGTTAAAAAATATTAAATATCAAAAAAATAATAGATATTAAAAAAAAATTCATGGATGAATGAACAATACATTTTTGAATAAATTAATTTAATTGT